TGCATGCGGTGGCAGGTGAGAAACCTTCTCGTTTTGGCGTCCATTCGCTTGAATGTCAGCTATGGTCCAGTTAAGAATGTTGAAACTGTATTGCACCACAGGCACAGCGAATGTGTTTATAGCTGATATTCTGTTGTTATTTTTTTTGTTTTGTTTTTTTTTGGTGGTGGGGGTTAATTCAGCTTGGTATTCAGTGCCAGACGCACATGCCTCTAGTACGCCTTTCTTATGTTCTCCATTTGGATATGCTGCATTCCATCTCCTTCGCTAATTCTTAGGTATCTATAGGCTTCTTCTTGTTCCAATTGCCTAATCTTTGTGACAAAATCTAAATCTATTGAGTGTGTTTCTGTAATTCTCCTTTTCTTGAATGTTTCTTCAGCACATTTATCTAATCCGAAATTCATACTGATGTCGTCATTGAAACATTTTACAGTATTGAGGAGAAACCCTTCAACTCATTGTCGTCTTTGGCCTTTGAGAACTTCCATGTAGAGTAGGTGATTGAGTACTTTCTTGTTCAGCTTACCATACCATAGCCATTACTGTTTAGTTAATGCATAAGAGGGATTAAGGATATACAAAAGAAAAGAGGAGTCTCCATGAAAAATTCCTCGTCGGATAATCAGTCGATTGGAGATGGCAGTGCCTCTGGTACGATTTAGGTATAATGTGGTTTTCAGCATTCCCATGCTATGCTTAAAGAAATTTACTATCACAGATGAGACTTCGTACATTTCCAAAGTGTCCAAGAGTATGACACACTATCAAATGCTTTATGGTAATCTATTCATACTGTGCTAAGATTTTTAAATTGTCTCCTGCAATTTTCCCGGAACATTTTGTTTATCAGTAGTTGATCATTGCAACCATATGAATCTGTCCGGCATCCCTTCTGTTCCAGTGGGAGAATGATGTTTGTTTCGAGAAAAAATTACGTACGGTTCGTCAGGACAGACGTGATCAATTTATACGTGGTAGACAGACATGTTATTGGCCTATAAATTTTCGGCTCATTTGTTTCACTTGTTTTTTTGCATGCGATATATAATACCTTAAGTGGTCCATTCCGAGATTTCATTGGTATTACTAATAAGCATTGATAGAGTTTGTGCAAGTGTTTTATGGATTAATGAGATATGATGGAGCCAGAAATTGGGCACCTAGTCATTTCCGGCAGATTTCGTTAGAGCTTGCCTAACATTATCCATGGCTATATTTCCCCACTCTTGTAGAGATTTATCCAGCATTCGGTCTTCTTTACGTTGGATCCATTCTGCATTGGGGTTATATTTCTTTGGTCTGCTCCAAATATTCTCCCCAAATTTCTGCACTTTGTCAATAGAAGATGGCTTTTTGACATGTTTAACTGCTTTCCCCAGTAAAATTTCTTAAGGTCCGTTTTGAATATTTTATTCTGGCGATAGAACCTACAACATGCTTTGTATTGTCTTGTTCTCTGTGCCTTTAACTTCAGTTTCTGTTTTAGAATTTCCTCAATTTTTGGAATTACATTTAGTGATTTAATTTTATATTTCCGCTTGATCTTCCAGAATTTACAAGTTGAGACATTTGGGTTTCTAGTGAGCTCATCCAATATTGAAATCTCACATTTGATTTCCTTTATTTCTCACATCAGTTTTGCCTTCCAAGCCGGCTCTCTTTGTTTATTATGTGATCTGGTAAAGCTCTTGCGTATATGATATTGTTAACTTCCGTTAACAGTTATGTCACAGGTAGATTCTTCTGTTTTATTTCATGGGAGATTATTATTTCGTATTTTAGTTTTTACCTCATCCTCTGTCATATTATTTATTTCTACTCTCATCTCTTAATTGTTTGTGATGGCTTATTGTATTCTGTTTTATATTTAGTTTTATCTTATCTACTTCTGCATTTCAGAGACTTTCGTTTCGCATGATGTCCGTGCGGACATTAGCAAGCATGTTTGGTTGAGATGAGATCTTATTTCACTTCCTACCATAGTTCTCCATATTTGGTATGTCTGATTCGTGGTGTTCTTTTGTGGATTTTTGAGGGCGATGAAAAAGGACGTCATGACATATTGATACCCTTCCCGAGACCATTTCGTTCGATTTCTTTTTATTAATGGATTTGGCATTGAGTCACTTGGTCCAAGGTTGGAAATAGTCCAGTTTTGGTGACCAAGTTTCTCTTCGTTGCTAGAAGAGTTCGTTTTTCGGCCCCAGACTGGTTTCTCTCTGAGGTACGCGGCTCTTGTTGACCCGGGTGCCAGCCGATCCGGTATGAAGATTTGTTCGTAATCATCGAGATTTATAATTTTTTACGTTTTATCCTTGACCACCAAGGGGTAATTATGTTCAAGTTACCAGCTCTAGGATGACTTTCGATCAAGACCAAAGAGCTTCTCCTCGGAGATTGAAAAAAAAGAGCAAAACGCTCACATAACTCCGTATTTTGCTCCAAATCTATCTATCTATCTATCTATCTATCTATCTATCTATCTATCTATCTATCT